AAACAGAGCCAACAACGTTGTTAGACCGTTCTTTGACAAGCTTCTCAGCGAAACTCTCGAGAATCCGATCGTATTTGCTCTCGTCAATAGGCTCAACTCTCTTATTACTCTCTTTCTCTTCTCTCTGTTGCTTCTCCTTAAACACTTCCCACCACTTCCCTAACCGTTTCGCAGTCCTCCCGGGAACCTCAGCAGCGATTTTCTTCCACTTGTTGCCGTGTTTCTCCTGAAGACGAATCACAAGTCTCTGTTCTTCCTCAGTCAAAGAACCTTTCTTGATCCCTGGCTTAAGATAATTCTTCCATCTCTCAAGACAAGACTTAGCATCACGGTTCAAAGGTTTGTTCATACGCTCAGAGACAAGATGCCATTCTCTAGGACCAAACTGTCTAACGTAAGCACGTAACAATGCATCTTCTTCACCACTCCAACGTTGCCTCTCCTTCATCTCCTGTTCCTCCTAACATCACTCCTTCCCATCTCACCACCATCCCTTCCTCATCTGCATCAAATTTTTCACCAAAAACAAAGAAAAACCAAAACTTTTACTTTTATCTCACAATTCAAGATCGAAAAGCAAGAACAACCAAATTTACAATCTTTTCAGTACATAGAGATCTAACACTCAAAAGTCTAAAACTTTTGAATCCAAACACAAGAAATCTACAAATGACAAAACTTTGAGAACGTTTTAAGCAAAACCTTGCAATGATTTCTTATCATTACCACTACATATAAAAAAAGTAATGGTCTTTTTTTTTCCTGGAAACCAAACAGTGGAATTAAAGATGACCCCAAAACACTATTAGCACTACCCTATTAAGAGGAAAACAAAAAACAAAAATTTGCTCACCAAATAATGTTGAAAAGGGAATTCACAAACTCAAGAGCAACTTTCATCACAAAGCTTTTACTTCGTCGGCTAAATTGGAAGAGAAAACGAAAAAGATCAAAGAGAGAGAGACTTTAAAAACCAGAGGAGGTAGAGGATTAGACCACAGAGACGGCTAATAAAAATCCAAAAAAAAAAAAAAAGTTTAGCGACTGGAGACACAGACGTTTTTTCCTTTTAACGTACAAGTGGGGGAAAAAACTCTCTGACAGTGGCGCGTGGTGGTAAAAAGTTGAAATTCCATAAGTTCGTTGAG